TGCATCGGAGAGGTGAGACCCCCCTTGTGTCCCCTCGGAGGGCAGGTGACCCCCTCAGGTGGGGAGGGGATTCCCCCCTACTGGGGACATGATCCCCTTGGTGGGGAGGGAGGTGACCCCCACTGATGTCCCCTTGTTGGGGGGATGACCCCTCTTGGTATCCCTTGGGGAAGATGACCCTGTTGGCGGTGTCCCCTTGGTTGGGAGGTGACCCCGTTGTTGGGGAGGTGACTTCCCTTCTCATCCCCATGTTGGAGTTCCCTCACTGGGTTGGTGACACCTCTCCTTGGTGTCCCCTTGGTTGGAAGTGACCCCCGTGGCTGGGGGATGGTGCCATTGGTGTCCCCTTGTTGATGTCCCCTCACTGGGGAGGTGCCCCTCACCGGCGTCCCCCCGGCCCCGTTGGTGTCCCAGTCGGGTGGTGTTCCTGGTGGCAGGGCGGTGACAGTGACGGTGGCCGTGTCCCCACGGTGTCCCCGCAGGTGTCCATCAGCGGGAAGCGCCTGGAGCTGCGGGAGCGGTTCCTGCGCAGCCGGGGGGTGCGGCCCTGCGGCCACCGCGCCCCATGTCGGCCGGGGACCCGCGGTGAGAGCGGGGACGGGGCTGGGCTGTGGGGCGTTCGCACGCGTGTGTGAGCTGCGCGTGCATTACTGCGTGTGTGTGCTGCATGGGTGTGTATGCATGTGTGCAGTGCGTGTGTGCCGTGCGTGTGCATTACTGCATGTGTGCATTGCATGTGGGTATATGCTGTGTGTGCACTGTGTGTGTGCGCTGCACACGTGTGTGTGTGTGTGCATTATTGCGTGTGTGTGCTGCACACGTGTGTGCTGCATGTGTGTGTATGTGTGTGTGCAGTGCGTTTGTGCTGCATGTGCATTTGTGTGTGTGCACTGCACCTGTGTGTGCGTGTGCACTCTGTGTGTGTGCATTTTGCATGTGTGTGTGTACACGAACGCAGTTCACACCTGCTCACACCCGTTCACTGCACACACAGTTCACACCTGCTCACTGCGCACACCTGTGCATTTGCACACAGAGCTCACACCTGCTCACTGTGCACACCTGTGCATTTGCACACACAGCTCACACCTGCTCACTGCACACACCTGTGCATTTGCACACACAGAGTTCCCACCTGCTGACTGCGCACACCTGTGCCTTTGCACACACAGCTCACACCTGCTCACTGCACACACCTGTGCATTTGCACACAGAGTTCACACCTGCTCACTGCACACACCTGTGCATTTGCACACACACAGTTCACACCTGCTCACTGCACACACCTGTGCCTTTGCACACACAGTTCACACCTGCTCACTGCGCACACCTGTGCATTTGCACACACACAGTTCACACCTGCTCACTGTGCACACCCGTTCACTGCACACACAGCTCACACCTGCTCACTGCGCACACCTGTGCCTTTGCACACACAGCTCACACCTGCTCACTGCGCACACCTGTGCATTTGCACACACAGCTCACACCTGTTCACTGCGCACACCTGTGCCCGGCGTGCCCTGCAGGCCGTGCCCGTGTGTGCTGCGCACACTGACCCGGCACCCGCAGTGACCGTGTCCCGCTGTCCCCAGGCCCGCGCTGCGAGGATGAGGAGGAGGAGGAGGCCGAAGGCTGTCACCCCTCCCGGCCCTGCCTGCACGGTGGCTCCTGTGTCCATGGCTCCTGCCGCTGCCCCCCTGGACACAGCGGGGCCCGCTGCCAACACCGTGAGGGGACAGCACAGGGACATGGGGAGACACCTGGGGACACAGGGAGCATGCAGGGACACTGCCAGCACAGCGAGGGGGAACACATGGAAGGGCAGGGGGGGACATCTGGGGACTCATGAAGACACAGAGGGGCATCTCAGGTCACTGGAGGACATGGGGGTGACAAAGGAAAGACAAAGGGACACAAGGGACATGCACACTTGGGGATACTTGGAAATACCTGGGGACACTTGGACATGGTTTGGGACATGTGGGGAAACTTGGGAACATGGGGAGACACTTGGGGACATGGAGGAGGTCACATAGGGACACCTGGGGACATGAAGGAGACACACATGGGGACACATGACAACATTTGGAGACACCTGGGGCTTGGGGGGGACACCTGGAGACCCTTGGGAATTGACTGGGGACACAGAGGGACACCTGGGGACGTGGCAGGGACACACGCTTGGGGAATACTTGGGAATATCTGGGAATAAGTGAAGCCACTTGGGGACATGGGGGACACCTGGGGACACTGTTGAGGATATACACTTGGGGGATACTTGGGGATACCTGGAACATCTGGAGACACATGGGGACGTGGTGGGGGGACACCACGGTACGGAAGGGTTATGGTATTGGGGACACCAAGGGGATACCTGTCCCCCCTTTACCCCCTCTTCTCCCGCAGGCTTGGCACTGGCAGAGCTGGAGCAGGACTGGCAGGAGGGCAGCGGGGGTGGCGGTGGGTCCCTGCACCCATTTCTCCTTTTCCCCCCCAAAATGCCCCTTGGAAGGGGCAGGGCCCCTTGGTAGGGCCCCTTCCTCCCATCCCCCCTGACCCCCTATCTCCCCCCAGACGCCCCTGGGCAGTTCAGCGCCGCATTCCAGGATGGATCCTACCTGGCCCTTCCCGGGCACCTCTTCCCTCGTGGGTGAGTGACACGGGACACCCCGAGTGGGTGCTGCACCCCCCTCCCCATGGCACCCCCCGTTTTTGGGGTGCTGCGCTCCCCCCCACGGCATCACCCCCTTTTTGGGTGCTGCCCCCCATCACTCCCCTCCCCTGGCAGCCCCCCCGAGGCTCCCGAGACCATCGAGCTGGAGCTGCGGACGCGCAGCGCCCAGGGGCTGCTGCTGTGGCACGGCGCGGTGAGACAGGGGACAGGGGACAGGGGGCACGGGCTGTGAGACCCCTCTGGCTGGGGGTCCAGGTGCCCCCTGCTCACCCCCTGACTGCGCCCACAGGAGCCCAGCGAGGGTGGCAAAGCCAAAGATTTCCTTGGCCTCGGGTTGAAGGATGGGCACCTGGTGTTCAGGTGAGGGGGGACTGGGGTGTGACGTGTGGCACTGGGGTCCCCTGAGCCCACAAGGTGCCCCCCGATGTGCCCTGCACACTGACACCGTGCCCCCCACAGCTACCAGCTGGGCAGTGGCGAGGCCACCATCACCTCTGAAGACCCAGTCAATGACGGCGAGTGGCACCGGGTGACGGTGACAAGGTGGGTGGGGGTCTGGGCGTGGCGCGGGGCGGGTGCAGGTGCTGACGGTGCCCCACAGGGAGGGCCGGCGTGGGCAGCTCCAGGTGGACGGAGAGGAGCCGGTGAGCGGGGAATCACCCGGATCCAACGTCATGGCCAACACCGAGGGCAGCGTCTACGTGGGTACGGTGGGACTGGGGACACGGGGGGACACTGGAGGCACGGGCTGGGACACAAATGGACACAGGGTGGATGTGGGATGGTCGTGGAATGGACATGGGGTGGATGTGGGATAGATGGGGTGAGGCATGGGGTGGCACAGGGGATGGACATGGGGAGGGACTCGGATATGGCATGGACACAGGATGGACATGGGCTGGGATAGGGGCCTGGGCATGGGGTGGGACACAGATACAGGGGTGGGATAGGGCATGGACACAGAATGGGACATGGGATGGACATGAGGTGGCACAGGAGATGGACATGGGGTGGGATAGGAGCTGGGCATAGGGTGGGACACGGGATGGACATGGGGTGGGACACAGATACAGGGGTGGGATAGGGCATGGACACAGAATGGGACACGGGATGGGCATGGGATGACATTTGGGATAAGACACCAGGTGGAACATGAGATGGGACACGGGATGTACACGTGATGGGACACAGGATGGACATGGGGTGGGACACGGGATGGACATGGGGTGGGACATGGGATGGACATGGGGTGGGACACGGGATGGACACGGGCTGGAATAGAGGATGGGAGGCATGGAGAGGCACGGGATGGACACAGGATGAGACCCCTGGGTGGTGGGACATGGGGTGGGGACACCAGACGGGACACAAGCTAGGCGTGGGCGGGTGTCCGGGCCGGGCCGCGGGCGGGCCCCGCGGTGCCCCCGCCCAGCGGCTCCTGTGCCCCCGCAGGCGGCGCCCCCGACCCCCGCGCCCTGACCGCCGGCAAGTTCAGCTCCGGCCTCTCGGGCTGCGTGCGGGGACTGGCGCTGGAGTCCGCCGGCATCCCCCGACACCCCATCGACCTCCGGCACGGCGCCCTGGGGGGCTCCCCTGTGCCCCCCTGCCCCTCCTAACCCCCCCGAAACAGAGTTTGGGGGGAAATTGGCCAAGTTTATTCTTTTCCAAAAAAAACCACCAGGAGGAAACGGTGCTTCGCTGACCCGGGGTGACTCTGGGGGGGGGGGCCGGGACCCCCAAAAATGTTTACACCCCCCTTCCACCGGCCCCCCGAAACTGTGCCGGGGCGGCCGGGCCGCCTGGGTGCCCCCCGGGGTGGCGGCGGGGTGGGGGCGCGAGGGACAATCGGGGTGCTGGCGGGGACCCCCCCGCGGGGACAGCCATTAAAGGAGAGACAACCAGTGCGGCTGTCGTGTTTGGGGGGCTGCGCCGGGGGTGTGGGGGTACGGCAGCGATGGGATGGGGAGCGTGGGGCGGGGATGTAGGGGGGCTGTGGCGTTGGGCTGCAGGGGGCATGGTGTGAGCGAGATGGGCCCACCAGGCCGCAGCCCCCCGCCCACCGGGCCACAGGCCCCGCCCACGCCGCGTCAGCCGCGCCCCATAGCAAGCGAGCCCCGCCCCCCATGCACACAGGCCACACCCCCTCCGTGTGCTCGTACAAGCCACGCCCCCTACAATTCAAGTCCCACCCCTGGCGGACAAGAGCCTGTGTATGGCGCGCCCAAGCCACGCCCCTGCGGCGGAAGCCCCGCCTCCAGCCCCGCGCGTCGCGCCCGTCAACGTCAGCGCCTCGCGCCGTCACAGCGTCGCGCTCGTGGCGTCACCGGCCCTGACGGTGGCGGGAGGGGCCGGGCGGGATCGGGACCGGGCCGGGACCGGGACAAGGAGCGGGGCAAGGAGCGCGGCGAGGAGCGCGCCGGGCCGGGGCAGCCCCGGGGCGCCGGCGGGAGCGATGGCGCCGCGGCTGCAGCTGGAGAAGGCGGCGTGGCGCTGGACCGAGACGGTGCCGCCCGAGGAGGTGGCGCAGGAGCACATCGAGGCGGCCTATCGCGTCCGGCTGGAGCCCTGCCAGCGCGGCGCCTGCCGGTACCGCGGGGCCGGGCACCGAACCCCTCCGACCCCCTGTTCCCTCGGGCCATGAGGCGCGGGGCGTTCCCCGCCCCTGGCGGGTCCCGCGGGGTCGGTGGAGGCTCCCCCGTGTTCCCTTCTGGGGGACCCCATCCCCCGGGGCTGGGCCCTCAGCACATTGTGTGGCCTTGAGTGCTCCCCAGAGAGAGGCGGCTCCCTTGGCTGGCTCCCTCTGTCCCTCTCTGCTCTGACACAGCGCACCGACCCTCCCCGGGCTGTGGGGAACCCCTCTCCTTCTCTGGCTTCTCTGATGTAGGGGAACTCCCCTGGGGTGCTGGGAGGCCCTCCTCCCGACCTGGCTCGTCACATACGCGGCAGCACCCTGGTGTTGTGGGGGACCCGTTGTTGCTGGGCTCTTCAGATATAGGGGAGCCCCCATGGGGTGGTGGGGAGCCCCTCTCCTTACTTGTCCCTCCCAGCTTTTTGGATAACCCCGGGGTTGTAGGGAGCCCCTTTTCTTGCCTGGCTTCTCAGATCTAAGGAACTAGTCCTGCCCCAGGGCTGTAGGGACCCCTGTTTCTGCCTGGCTCCCCATTTATAGGGGATCCCTGTGGCTGAAGGGAACCCACCTCCTTGCCTGGATGTACAGCACTCACCCTGGAGCTGGGGCAAGCCCTGTCCCTGCCTGGCTTCCCAGATATAGCAGATCCCTTTGGTCCCATATTTGCCCCTGGGGTCCCCTTTTTTTTTAACCTAAAACCCCTTCTGGTTCTCCACTCTTTCCTCACCCATGACCAGTGTTTTTTGTGGGGGGCGTTCCGTGTCTCATCCCATTCAACATTACATGCTTCCCCACATCCCCCACTGTCACCCTGCCAGCCCCCAGGGGACACAGGGGTGACAGCTGGGGTCTGGCTCCCCAGGAGGAACTGCAGGGGGAACCCCAACTGCCTGGTGGGCATCGGGGAGCACGCGTGGCTGGGCGAGATCGACGAGAACAGCTTCCACAACATCGACGACCCCAACTGCGAGCGCCGCAAGAAGGTACCCCACCCCCCGGGGGCCAGGGCCGCGCTGGGGCCAGGGCAGGTGACCTGAGCTGGCCCTTTCTCTGCCCCCCAGAACGCCTTCGTGGGCCTGACCAACCTCGGCGCCACGTGCTACGTCAACACCTTCCTGCAGATGTGGTTCCTGAACCTGGAGCTGCGGCAGGCGCTCTACCTGTGCCCCAGCGCCTGCGGGGACGGCGTTCCCAAGGACACAGGTGCGTGGCACGTGGGTTTGTTCCCTCCCAAAAACCCCACCTTGGGGTTAGCTTGACTGGGAGAATTCATGGGGAAAGCTCCAGCCGTTAGTCTGGGGCCATCATCTGGATTTTGGGAATGAACCAGCCTTAATCCAGGTGCTGTCCTAGATCAGAGTGATCTGAGCTGGTTGGGAGCCATCATCTGGATTTTGGGAATGAACCAGCCTTAATCCAGGTGCTGTCCTAGATCAGAGTGATCTGAGCTGGTTGGGAGCCATCATCTGGATTTTGGGAATGAACCAACCTTAATCCAGGTGCTGTCGTAGATCAGAGTGATCTGAGCTGGTTGGGAGCCATCATCTGGATTTTGGGAATGAACCAGCCTTAATCCAGGTGCTGTCGCAGATCAGAGTGATCTGAGCTGGTTGAAAATGATGGTTTAGTTTGGTCTTGCTTCCCAAGGCAGCCCAGTGGTGGTCCTGGGGGTGGAACGTGTGGGTCAGGGCTGGTCTGTGCTGCTGCAGAGCTGCACTTATCCCATAGCAGGGCTGAAATTTGGGCCCCACATAGGAATAAAGCTCTGACTTTTTTCTGCTGTTGGGTGCTTTCCCCAGGGAGGCTCTGGGTCAGCACAGCCACCTCAGCTCTGCTGCTGTTTCATGATGGTTGTAAATGATGTTTCCCTTCTGGGGTAAATAAGCTATTTTTTGGAGTAGTTGGTGTATGCTGTGTAAACACTTCACTCACAGCTCACGCTGGGCACTGCAGGATGGAATCATGGAATCCCTAAGGTTGGAAAACTCCTCCAAGATTATCAGATTATCCAACCATGCCCTCAGCACTGCCAAGCACCCAGGTGCCACATCCAAACAGTTTTTGAGCACTTTCAGAGGTGGGAACTCCACCACTTCCCTGAGCAGCCTGTTCCAGTGCCTGACTACCCCTTCCATGGAGGAATTTTCCCTAATATCCTACCAAGACCTCTCCTGATACAACTCAAGGTCATTTCCTCTCATCCTGTCCCTTGTTCCCTTCGAGCACAGCCTGGCTCCACCCTCCTATCTGAAAGTTGCAGAATGTAAATATTTACAGTTGGACTTGATGATCCTAAGGGGTTTTTCCAACCTAAATTATTCTCTGTTTGGCTTGTGCTGGGATGTGCTATCATCACCTACATGATCCACTTCGGTTTTCCTGATAACTTAAACTACCTTCCAAGCCCATCACTTTTAGTGGTTGTGAAACACTTGGAGCAATCCCTTCTCGCCCTGAATTCCTGCTGTGCCTTGTGTTTTTCCCAGACTATGAGCCCCAGACCATCTGTGAGCACCTGCAGTACCTGTTTGCTCTGCTGCAGAACAGCAAGCGGCGCTACATCGACCCCTCGGGCTTTGTCAAGGCGCTGGGGCTGGACACGGGGCAGCAGCAGGTGTGTGGGAGGAGATTCCTGGCACTTCCAGAAGCTGGGAATCACCCTTGGGCAGTCACTGGGCAGCTTCCAGCTGGGTCTGGATTCTGGGTGCAAACATGAAGGGGGAGGTGGGGCTGTGGGTCCCACCAGAGTGCAGGGGGAAAACAGGAGGGGACCAGGACATCAGGAGTGCCCAGGGAAGAGCCCAGGGAGTGATGGGATGAGGCCAGGGAGATGAAGGGGGAGGTGGGGCTGTGGGTCCCACCAGAGTGCAGGGGGAAAACGGGAGGGGACCAGGACATCAGGAGTGCCCAGGAAGTGATGGGATGAGGCCAGGGAGATGAGGAGTCCAAGGAGTGATGTGATGGGGACAGGGAGATAAGGAGGAGAACAGGGAGCAATGGGATGGAGAGAGGGAGATCAGGAGGGTCCCAAGGAGGAATGGGATGAGGACAGGGAGAGAGGAGGGACCCAGGGAGTGATGGGATGGGGCTAAGGAGCAATGGAATGAGGCAAAGGAGATCAGGAGGAGTCCAGGGAGTGAGGGAGCGAGAACATGGAGTAATGGGATGGGGCCAGAGAGATCGGGAAGAGAGCAGGGAGACAAGAGGGAGCCTTGAGAGTGATGGGATCCGGACATGCAACAATGGGATGATGATGCAGAGATAAGGAGGAGCCCTGGGGCAGTGATGGAGACAGGGAGAATGGGAGGAGCCCAGGGAGTGATGGGATCAGGACGTGAAACAATAGGATGAGTACAGGGACATTAGGAGGAGCCCAGGGAGCAATGGAATCAGGCTAGGAGGTGGTGAGTGCAGATCAGGAGGAGCCGAGGGAGTGGTGGGATGAAGCCCAGGAGCGATGGGATGGGGCCAGGTGGGAGCCAGAGGTCCTGCAGGTGCTCTGTGGGCTAAGATAAGGAGGAGCCCTGGGGCAGTGATGGAGACAGGGAGAATGGGAGGAGCCCAGGGAGTGATGGGATCAGGACGTGAAACAATAGGATGAGTACAGGGACATTAGGAGGAGCCCAGGGAGCAATGGAATCAGGCTAGGAGGTGATGAGTGCAGATCAGGAGGAGCCGAGGGAGTGGTGGGATGAAGCCCAGGAGCGATGGGATGGGGCCAGGTGGGAGCCAGAGCTGCAGTGAGGGTCCTGCAGGTGTTCTGTGGGCTGCTCCTCCCGGGGTTGGGTGGTGAGAGGGCCCTCCCAGGGGTGAGGAGAGCCTCAGGGGGAGGTGGATCAGGAGGAGCCAGCCAGGATCCAGGGCAGCTCGTGGGAGGTGAGTGCTGCAGGGCCCTTGTGGGCCTGCATCTGGAGCCTGGGAGAGGGGCAGGGCTTGGAAATCCACTTGGAGAGGTAATGGGAGGTTTTGGAGCAAGAGCAGAGCACTGGCAAATGTTTCCTTGGGAGGGTCAGGAGAGGAAGGAAGCTGACCAGGGACACCAAAGGGCAGCTGAGAGAGGCCAAAAGCTGTTTGTTTTTGGAAGAGGAGAACCAGAGCAGGAGAGAAGGGCCCTGAGCTGGGTGTGGGGAAGCACTGGATCGTCACCAGGATCACCCATAGGGCAGCTTCTCATTTTTGGGGTGTTTTTATTTCTCTTCTCACCTCTGATCTGAGCAGGGACAGCTGCAAAAAGGAGGATGAAGGGGCTTGGAAGCTCCACAGGAGGCTTTTTATCCCTTCCAGAATCCTGGGAGGAGCAGGGCAGAAGCCAAAGCCCCCAGCAGGGCTGGCAGGGAGCCAGGGCAGCTCCTGCTGTGCTCCCACACTGAGGGCCTCACGCTCCTTTTAGCCAAATTCCTCTGTTTTCCTTAGTTCTCCTGCCTGGTCTTTATTTTCCATGCCGTGCACGGAGCCTCGGCCCAGCCTGTGTGGAGGGCTCGGGGTAATTAGCAGTGAATTAGTGACAGGGTTGGGATTGTGCTGTGGTGGATTCTTAATGAACTTGGTTTTCTCTTTCAGGATGCCCAGGAGTTTTCCAAGCTGTTCATGTCCCTGCTGGAAGATACTTTGTCCAAACAGAAAAACCCAGATGTCCGGAACATTGTGCAAAAGCAGTTCTGTGGAGAGTGTGCCTATGTCACAGTGTAAGTAATCATTTTGGGAAGACCCTTTTTGTAAATATTTAAATTTTTAGAAGGATTTAGGAGGGGAAGATCCTTCCTAGCAACCAGAGCAGGCAGTTAAGCTGCAGCAGAAACACTTTCTGGGAAATATTTACCTTTTCCTTTCCTGTTTCTGTGTGTGTGGTGTTGCTGTGACAGTTCTCCAGCTGCTTTTACTCCTTTAATGAGAATTTACCAAATAAACCTGAAAGTGAGTTAATGGAGTGGCAGGTCCTGCAGCAAGAAAACAGCATCCTGGGTGTTGTATTTTCATTCCTGTGTTCTCAGAGCTGTGAATTTCACCTTAAAAATAATATAAAATGGTACATGCAAGTTGTGACAGGTTCTGGTATGTGCTGTTAAGCTGTTTAAACCTCCTCCTGGAGTTTTTATGGTGTGGAGGTGTGAATCTCCTTAGCCTGGACTTCACTTTTTCTCCTGGTTTTATTCAAGGAATATTTTACTAAAGAGTTGGGAGCCCCAATGCTTGAGCCCTGACCTGTCCTCAGATATATTTTTGTCTTCTTTCCCATCCCAGCTGCAACCAGTGTGGCAGAGAATCTAAACTGGTGTCTAAATTTTACGAGCTGGAGTTAAACATCCAAGGACACAAGCAGTTGACAGACTGTATAACAGAATTCCTCAAGGTATGAGCTGGTTGGGGTTGCAGTCCTGCTATTTTTAGCAAGGAATTTCAGTTCCTTCCTCCAATTCACAGCCTTCGAGGTCGGTGTCGGAGTGAAGCCACTGACTTGGATCAGGGAGATGCATCCAGATGAAAATGTTTTTTTCTGCAGACCCAAAAAATGAGGATTGAGGCATGGAGCAAGGAATGGCTCCGTGATATCACATGCTCCTGTTACAGCTTTAAAAAGCACTTGAAAGTTGCATTTTTAGTTAAAATACTTTGCCAGGAAAATTAGGGAAGTCTCTGCCTGCTTTGTCACGGATAGCACTGGGAGAACGGCTGCTTTCCCTGTTTTCTGTGTCAGTGCTCATCTGCATAGCAACAGGAGACATTCCCTGCTGAAAAAATGTGCTCTCAGAAGTACCAGGGAGTGCCTGGAATAGCTGCAGGAACAGCTGCAAGTGCCCTCAATTCAGCTTGAAAATTTCTCTGGATCTGAAGTTCAGCTCTGGCACACTAACGTGTGGATTCCACTCAAACTATTTAGGACAGAACTGACCTGAACCCTTCCCCTGAGCTCCTTGCTTTCTGGTGCACTCAGCAAACCAGTTGCTCTGCCTAGAAGGTCTGCTGTGAAAAAAAAAAACTGGTTTGGGTGCACAGATTAAATTCCTGAATTGGAGAACTTGGCATTTGTCTGCTCCTCCTTCACACTAAAAAACCCTGTGACGTTTTTTAGGGGGGTTGGAATTTTCTTCTGGCCTTACCCTGCCCTTGGATCTGCTTAGGCAGTGAGTGACTCCAGCAGGGTGATTTTGGGTGGCTGAGCAGAGGGTGTAGTTTCCAGGCTATAATGTGGCTTTACATTAACTGGATTCATGTGAACTCATGAAAGGGGTGATTTAATTATTTTCTTTGGTATAAGCCAGCTCAGTCAAGCAAGGAGCAAGAGACCTGAGAACTTGGAATGGGGCTTGAGTCAGTCTAAAATCTGCCTTAAAGTGAGAGTAGCCTGCTATGGCCATGCTGTAAAGTGCAGTCATTAGTGTGTCTTTAACTCAGAAAAATTTGGGCAGCAGTGAGAAGAGACTTAAATAGTTAAAATAACTTTGGTGCTTCTCATTCTCCAGCTGTTGAGTAGCTCAATTGACTTTTCAGTGCTGACACGTTCTCAAGACCTTTCCCTCTGCCTCTCCACTACTCAGGAGGAAAAATTAGAAGGGGACAATCGTTATTTTTGTGAGACTTGTCAGAGCAAGCAAAATGCCACAAGGAAGATCCGACTGCTCAGCCTGCCCTGCACCCTCAACCTGCAGCTCATGCGCTTTGTGTTTGACAGGTGAGTGGGAACACCCTGGGAGCTGTTGGGGAAGTCACTACCCTGCTCTTCCTGCTTTAATGTGGGGTGTCTGAGCCTCTCGAGGGGTGCTCAGGGGGGTTCAAGGGAGGTGTTTTGGGATGGGAGCTGTTGTTGCCGTGCCCTGAACCACAGCTTTGCCTCCGCACAGACAAACTGGCCACAAGAAGAAGCTGAACACCTACATTGGCTTCTCAGAGCTGCTGGACATGGAGCCTTTCATGGAGCAAAAAAGTGAGTTTAGGGCAGTTTTTTGTTACCTTTGCTCATTGCCTCTCGGCAGATCTCTAATTCTGTTTACAAGGAAATTCCTTCCTGTGAAGGTGATGATGCACAGGCTGCTCAGAGAAGCTGTGGCTGCCTCTGGGTCCCTGGAGGTGTCCAAGGCCAGGCTGGACGGGACTTGGAGCAGCCTGGGATAGCGGAAAGTGTCCCTGCCCATGGCAGAGAGGTGGAGCAAGATAGGCTTTAAAATCCCTTCCAACCCAAACCATTCTTGGATTCCTCTGAATCCTCTTTTTGTAAAAATTCTGTCCAGAGTAGTTTGAAGCCCGTATTTCAAGCGACATCCTTGTTATTAAGCCACAACCCTTTTAGCAATGTCCTGAAGCACTGTGAGTTCAAGTGCAGGCTTTGGTGCTTGGTGAAAACACGAGGTTTTAGGACAGGAAGGACGAGTGCTGTTGGCTGCAGAGCTGTGTGTAAGTGCTGCTTGCCTTGCAGACGGGGTGTACGTGTACGAGCTGAGCGCTGTGCTCATCCACCGTGGAGTAAGCGCCTACTCCGGGCACTACATCGCCCACGTGAAGGACCCACAGACAGGAGAGTGGTACAAGTTCAACGATGAGGACATCGAGAAGATGGAGGGGAAGAAACTGCAGCTGGGAATTGAGGAAGATTTAGGTAAAACCCTTCAGTTGTGAGTGCCCTTTTAAAATAACTTTCTACCACAAGCGTCCCCAGATGCAGCCTCGTGCTCCTCCCCAGAACGGGCTGTCATGGCTCAGAGGAACGTGGGAAACAGCAATCCTGGTGATTGCAGCCAGATTTGCTTCGTTTCAGCCCCGTGTGAATGTTTACACCTCATGATCAGCTGCTCTAGTATTTCTCTGGCTGCCACATGGCAGATAAGACGCTGATAACACGGGCAGCGGGTTCCTATCAGGGGGCAACAGGCGGGTGCCGCTTCCTTGGAACAGATAAGGAGAATGCTTTCAGTTTCCTTAACACATTATGGTTCTGTTTCCACTGAGGTGTTTTACTTGGAGGCAGTAAAAAAGATTTTGATCCAAATAACAACTTGGAAGCTAAAACTGCTTTTTTACTCTGAGCTTTTTCCTTGGTGCTTTTCTGTTTTACTGGCTCATTGTATGCTGCCCATATCACTGTGTTCCTGGACTGAATTTCTTGGAAAGCTTGGGCTGAGACTGGACCTGTGGATTTCTTACTCTGCAGTCAATAAATAAGAGCAGCTCATTTGGAGTTGAAATGGTTTCGTAGTGACTCAGTGTTCTGTAGTGCAGGTGCTCACAGCAGGAAAAAACAGGGAAATTATGTAGAAATTCACTTGCAGTGCAAGCAATCTATTCCCAGGAATTGTTACCCACCAGGATGCTTTGCTGTGGTTAGAATTTAGGGAATGTTGTTTTTCTTTAAAGCATCTTCAGAGAAAAAAAGCCCTGCAGATTTAAGTGCTCCCTTGGTTTGGTGTAATGGAGCATCAGCCTTCATCCATTTCCTTGTTCTCACCTGCACGATGCTTCTTGAGGTGCTGGAATGTGTCCAGAGATGGGAAGTGGAGCTGAGGAAGGGTCTGGAGCACAAGGACAAGAGTCTGGAGAACTTTTGAGGAGCAGTTGAAGGAGCTGGGGGGCAGGGCTCAGCCTGGAGAAGAGGAGGCTCAGGGGAGCCCTTCTGGCTCTGCACAGCTCCTGCCAGGAGGGGACAGCTGCGGGGGGTCAGGGACAGAAGGACAGGGAATGGCCTCAGGCTGGGCCAGGGGAGATTTAGTTTGGATATTGGGAAAAATCCTTCATGGAAGGTGTAGTCAGGCATTGGAGGAGGCTGCCCAGGGCAATGATAGAGTCACCATCCCTTGGAGGTGTTCAAAAAGTGTGTGAACGTGGCACTTGGGGACATGGGTTAGTGGTGGAGCTGGCAGTGCTGGGTTAATGGTTGGCTTTGATCATCTTGGAGGGCTTTTCCAGCCTTAGTGATTCCATGATCCTGCCTGTGCCAGCAGCTCTGTCCCACTCCCCTTGGCTCCCTGTGCTCGGGGCCGGCCCATGCTGGAGCTGGCCGGACATCTAGCGGTGCACAGGGAAACTGAGCCCTCAGCAGCACCCGGGGCAGCTCAGCCTTTGTTTTTACCCTCCCCACTCAGCCAGTCCAACAAATGAGATGCAAGTAAACTGCTGTGACCTCAATTTTATAAAGTCGCATGCTTAACTGCAAGTAAATGTTCTTATTTCTTATATTTCAATTCAAGGACCTCAATTTTATAAAGTCGCATGCTTAACTGCAAGTAAATGTTATTTCTTATATTTCAATTCAAGACTGTTTGGAGAATAGAAGTGAAGTGTGTTTAGGAGGCTCTTATGGCTGAGAGCTCAATATTTGTATCAAGTTTTGATGTAATTTGCCTGTTCCAGGCAAAACTGAGGCCTTTTTTTGTTACAAATACATGTAACAGCAGGAGAAGGTCAGTAACATAAACTGAAGGTCTGTGGGGGAGAGAGTCTTGGCCATGCAGATGGGAACAATTCAGAAAATTCTTGGATTAAATGCAAATAAATAGAGTCTGGGAAGTCCCCTGGATGGTGTGGGGGGGAAGGCACGTGAATTTTTTCAGAATTTGGGGGAAAGAAACTTAATCGTTCAATGGCCCACTTAGAGTTCAATTTATAGAACATTGTTGCTTTAATTTTTTTCTTTATTTTAAACGGTTTGATTTTTGAAGCTGCAGCTGTAGATAAGTGTTTTCCTTGCCTGAGAATCCATCTGGAAACAGCAGCTCTTGCAACACAACTTTACATCCCCCAGCAGCTGCTCAAAAACAAACCTTTCCATGGGTCTTGGCTTCCTAAAAACTTTGCTGTGTTTTCTTCATATCCACAATCACCTGTAAATACGATTTTCTTCCCTGAGGATTTGACTCTTTTCTTTGGAGTCAGGACAGCAGAACAAGAGGCAAAAGGGAGAAAGGATGTTTTTCCAAGAGTGGCTTTTGGCTCAGAGAAGTTCCACTGGGGAGAGAAGAAAGGCTCTTGAGAAGGGAGGTTCAGAACAGGCTCCTAAATTTAGTCCCTTTGATTTACCCAGAAAGGCTGGAGAGATTTGGGGCTTTCTTTGGGATACAATTTTGAGTCGTGCCAAGCCCAGTGCTTGGCAGAGATGCCTGGCACAGGGAAGCTGGCTGGGTGGCAAACTCATCCCGTTGATGGAGGATCAGGGAAGGAGCTCGTGTGTTGCTGAGGCTGTGCCTTCTGTTCCCACAGCGGAGCCATCGAAATCCCAGACCCGTAAGCCCAAGTGCGGGAAGGGCACGCACTGCTCCCGCAACGCCTACATGCTGGTGTACAGGCTGCAGGCCCGTGAGAAATCCCTCACTGTGCAGGTGCCAGGTGAGTCCTGGGGTCCTCTCAGCCATTCCCCACTGTCCAGGTGCCAGGTGAGTCCTGGGGTCCTGCTTGTCCATCCCTCACTGTCCAGGTGAGTCCTTGGGGTCCTGCTTGTCCATCCCTGACTGTCCAGGTGAGTCCTGGGGTTCTGCTTGTCCATCCCTCACTGTCCAGGTGCCAGGTGAGTCCCTGCAACGCTCCAAGTGGGCCAGGAGTCGGAATTTTGCTTGAAGTCCCATTTAGGGCTAGGAAGTTCCTGGAGCCCTTTTGCTGTGGTTCCAGGCTGGGAGAGCTGGAGAAGGCCCCAGGCTGGAGATCTCCCCAGGGAGATCTTCAAGCCCCTTCCAGTGCCTAAAGGGTCTCCAAGAGAGCTGGAGAGGGAATTGGGACAAGAGATGGAGTGCCAGGACAAGAGGGAATGGCTTCCCACTGCCAGAGGGCAGGGTCAGATGGGATATTGGGAAGGAATTCCTGGCTGTTAGGGTGGTGAGGCCCTGGCACAGGATGCCCAGAGAAGCTGTGGATGCCCCTGGAAGTGTCCAAGGCCAGTTTGGATGGGGATTGAAGCAACTCAGGATAGTGGATGGTGTCCCTAGGTGAAAAAAAAAATTATCTTCAAGGTTCCTCTCAACCCACTCCAGGATTCCATGATTTTTGACTGTTTGCCATGAGCCCCAAAGGTGCTGTCTGGCACCTTGGTGTGTTGAGCAGTGAAACCCCTGGGTTTTCCCAGCACTTAATTAACATTAAACAGCCTCCCATGTGCCCAGTCAGACACTGCTCTGTTACCCAGCTGGTCAGGCTGGGAAGGGGTCAGGAGGAGAGAGATCATCCTGCTGGGATTCACCACTGTGATCCTGCTTGGATCCCAAAGGTGCAGGAGAGCAGTGTGGTTAAATGTCATCAGCAACACACGAGGAGGTGAATAATCCTGACAGATGTCAGGTTCCCTCTGTGACTGCTTCAGCTCTGCCACATCAGGAGTAAATGACACGAAAAGAAAGAGGCTCCGAGCCCCCAGTGGGAATTTGGGCCAAGTGCCTTCGTGTTGTGCTTTAGAATTATGGGGGTGCCAGAACTCCCTGTGGGCTTTGCCTGTGCGTTTAGTGTTTCCTGTTCAGCTGCTCCTTGATTAGAAATACTAATTAGGCCCCTGGTGCTGAGGTGTGTTCGCCCTTCCCTCATTTTCTGTGGAGCGGGGACAGCAGAGGTGGCAGATCCTTTTGGATCTCTGCAGAGGGGGTAAATCATACACCTTATTCCCCCCTAATAACACCCCAAACCTTTCCCAAGCCCCCCCTGTTTAAAACACACCCTCCAAGACAAAACTTCAGGAATTAGCACTAATTCCTGCCTGGATCTGTATTTTCAGCCTATTTCCTGAGCTTTCTTGCTCTCCCTTTCCTCCTACCCCTCTGCCCAAAACAATAACTCAACAAAAACCTCCCCACCCAGCTCCAAATTCCTGCACAGCCCCGCGGTTGCCTTTGTTTCCCGTGGAATCCTGCCAGGGAACAGGGAGTGAAGGGCAGCAGTCGAGCTCTGCGGTTGTGGGGAGGTTTCATGGAACTGTAAATTTGAGGCATTTTGCTTTGATGCTGTTAAAAAGCGGCTTTTCCGGGACAGTGGAGAGACGTAACTTGGCTCTGATCTCAAGGAGGTCAGGCTGGTTATTTTGTAATACTGGATATTCTCCCAAGGTGGATATTTTGGTCAAGAATTAACCTTTTTGCAGCTATTTTAGCTCTTCAGAATAATTCTAAATAGGAAAAGGCCTCAGATAAGCAGAGCTTCTTCCCCCACTGCTCCCTCGCACCAGCCCTCTGAGGGAAGTAGTTTATCTTCTTTTTTCCCTGCTGAGGTTTGGTTTGTTTGGGGTTTTTCCATCAGTGGCAGCAAAAATCCCCATTTCCTTCACCTTTCTGTTGATCTGCCCTGGCTAATCTCCCATCTCCTGAGGGCTCTTTGCCCTTGGGTTTGCAGCATGCTGGATCGCAGGTCGTGACAGGCTTCAGGTGTATCCAGAGGGTGAAGAGCTTTTGTTTCCCCCGGGAATGGTGGGGAAGGAAAAAGGAGCTGCACTTAACATTGCAACTAACCCCAAGTAAATTATTTTCTTGGGTGCAAAACTTTGCATTTAATCATCTGCAGCCCTCAGTATCAGAGAGAGCAATGTCCACGTGCTTGGCTTGGGGGAAGACCTCGCCCAGCAAGGCTTCGGGAGGGAATTTTTAGGTTTGTTGTCCCCAGATAACCCATGGTAATTAACATAGCTGGCATTTTCCCTTCAATTCCTGGGTTTTTTTTTTTTCTTTCCCAGCTTTTCTGCAGGAGCTGGTAGAACGGGATAACTGCAAGTTTGAGGAGTGGTGCAACGAAATGGCCGAGATGCGCAAACAGAGCGTGGCCAGAGGCAAGATCAAGCACGAGGAGGTGAAGGAGCTCTACCAAAGGTTACCCGCCGAAGCTGGTCTGTAAGACATTGTGGAGTATTGCTGTAGTAGAGCTGTTAAGCTTAGGAATGATTTGTGACTAACTCCCAACTCCTGTGGCCTTGCTGGAAAGCATTCCCGCAGCCCTCTGCAAGGGGAGAGCTTCATGCATGCTTACATTTGTTTTCCCTTGCTGCTTTTCCTGCCTTAACCTATTTTTCTCCTTTCTTTGCTCATTCTCATGGCCTCTGGCATCGCTAATTCCCTCCTGCTCCTTCCCCATCCGTCAGCCTCATGCTTTGTGACTCTTTTCTTCTGCCTGGTGAGCAGCTCAGCTCGTTAGGATCATCGAGGCGGAATAACTGCCTGCTCCCAAATTGCCAGCTCACAGCAGGTTTGGGAGCTGGTGAGCCCGATTCATCAGCAGGTAACAGGCTAAGAGAATGTCTGACCTCCAGCAGAAGATTACTGGATCCATCCCTGCCAGTGCTTCACTGCTCCATGTCTCAGTTTTGTAGGGAGACTGAGGTTAAGCTTTTTCTTGTTCTCCTTATGTATTGTTGCCTCAGCACACTTGAGTTTTATTTCCCACCTTGTTTTTCTCACCCGTCTCCCACAAAACTTGCTCTATCCATCCAGCCCAGGGAATTTGTCTTTACTATGTGCCTCTCCTAAAAATGGCAGAATAATTACAATTGAAGACTTCAAAGTGGGTTTAAATGTGTGGCCTGTAAGAGAATTTACTCTTCAGCTTTTATTATTGGATGCTCAGAGTCCACCATGAGATTGGAGTAGCCCAACAGCAAACTCCTGTTCCTGTAAACATCTGCTTCTCCAGTTTGGGAATGCAGGTGCTTAACTCTGGAGCAGGAAGGTGTCACAGCTCCTCGTGAGCCTGAGCAGCACTCAGATGTCACTTGAGATCAGAGTTGTGCTGGAGGGATGAACCTGCCCTGAGTCACCCGTGAAAAGGAGCAGCAGCACAGTTCCAGTGTGCTTTTCCTCAGCAGGAACAGAAGAGTTTGCTCTCGGCAGTTCTGATATGACAGAGGAATAAATCTCAAAAAATAGTATTTTTACAAGTGCAGGTGAAGCTCTTCTGCCCCAATTTAGGGATGACAGGACCAAACTTTGCCCTGAGGCACCCTCTGCCTGCTGTTGGCACATCATGGGTACAGCACTTCCAGCACAGCTGGAGGCAGCGTCATTCCAGCACTGCTCCAGGTCCTATCTCTGTGGAGCTCGGGGCTCTCTCTGCAGCTGTGCAGACACGTTTTCTGCCAGCTTTGTGGAGCCTGCCCCAGAAAACCCTCCTTTCTGGGGGAGGCAGTTTCATCCCAAACTAGCAAACCGGTTCTGACAGCGATGCAATTCTCTGGAGGTCACGGCTGCGGCGGGCATTGCGTAAGATGAAAACACCGTGGATTGAGGCTGTGGAGGAAAAGAGGCTTCACAGAGCTCCAGTGCAAGCTGGAGACACAATGTTTTCCTGTCTTCTGTATTTTCCTCTTGCTTCTCTGTTGCTCCCTCCCAGGAAACGTAAAGGATTTTTGCTCAGTTATAAATGTCACCAATGGGCGCATTTCCCCACGGTTTCAGAGCTGCCCTTGTGGCAGCACAGAATGGGTTTGAATTTTTCCTAATTTCTTCCTAATTTCCCAGTCATCCACTGAAGAGTTCTGTAGTGATATTGTGCCTCAGTATTGAGATGCAGGGGTTTCACCCCAACCTGCTCATACAAGCACTGACCTGCTCCTGAACCTCGACTGTGTATTTCTTTTTCAGCAAACAAGGGCAAGCCTGCTGCACTGCTTCAGCAAAAAACCTAAGCAAGTTTCCATTTGTACTGTAAATTTTAGAATTTTCTCACCTAAAATTGTAAGAGACACTGAATATTTGTTTGCTGAAAGGACAGGGGGAACACTGATTTAATCTCTGCTGATGTTGCCTTTAATTTTCAAATTACCCCAGTGAACTCTCTCTGTTGTAGAAAAAGCCTGTAATGCATGATCATTATTTAAATATTATATCAGTCCCTTGATGGATGATAGCAAAACCTTCCCTTTTCCTCGACTGCACTCCAATAATCCCCAAAAGGTTTGAAAGCACTCCCATTCCTCTTTGGAGCTGTTGCATATTGATTGCTGAATCCAAAATGATCTGCACATCTTCATATCAAAATGGTCTGCTACAGTCTCATGTAGCTCCTGTCTTCCAAATCTGTGACACTTAGATCAGAATGGGGTGGGAGTAGCTGGATCAGACCTTTGAAAACTTGTACCTCAGAGATTTAATCAACAGTGATTGCCTGTTAATTTTTAAGAGTAATTATAAAATACCACCTGGTGTTGGAGCTGACATGTATGGTCTTGTTTCTCTTTGTGGTTTCTCCCCTCCCAGGTTCCCCCTACGACTTCATCTCTCTGGAATGGCTGCAGAAGTGGCTGGATGAGTCCACTCCTCCCAAACCTATTGATAACACAGCCTGCCTGTGCTCCCATGGCAAACTCCATCCTGATAAAATATCCCTGATGAAGAGGATATCGGAATACGTGGCCGACTTCTTCTACCGGCGATACGGAGGAGGGCCCCGGCTCAACGGTAACATCCTCTCCAAGTCACCTCCTGGCATGTGGTTTGGAGCCTTGTTCTGATCCCAGCCCTGTTTTGAGGCATTCTTTATCCTAACTTCATTTCAGTGCATGGCTTTAGTGCTGCCTTATTTCCAGGGGATTTTTTTAATACCACTTAATTCTGTTACCATTTCCCAAACTCATTTAGGGTGATTGCAGGGTCTGCTTTGGCCCTGGGCTCTGCTCAGGGAAGGGCTGTTCCTGGAGGAATTGCTGTGGAGGAATGGGGCACTTGGCTTAGGAAACATAATACTTGGAAGGTTTGAAGGCGATTCTAGAAAATAAAACTTGCACATGCAACACTCCAAACTCTTGACAATTATTTTCTGAGCACCCACAGCTCCTGTGTGGGCTGGGTTTCATGGAGTATTCAGGCCAAAAATATCCTTTCCTGTCTGTCACCTCATCCAAGGAAGCACTTACCTGTTAGCCTGCTCCTGTTGAAGCATCTACCACACATTCTGCTTTTCAGGGTCAGCCCAGCCCCTCCAGGCTTTGGACATCCCTTCATCAAGCCCCAGGTTTCATTCCTTTTAGGAAGTTGCTCAGTAACTCCCACTGAGACCAAATTAGCTCAGCTCCTACTGGGAGCTTGTAGGGAAGAAACTGCTTGTGACGCAGGCAGCCTTTGTGGGGAAAAACAGGGCAAGGTTTATTAGTCAAGTGGAAGATTGCCTGAAGGGTTGTGGGTTGAGTATGGCTGGCAGGGAGGGAGGGATGGGTAAAACGATGGATGGACATTCTGCTTCCCTTTCTCCAGGATGCCAGCATGTAGATCTAAGTGCACACCCAGCTAGAGGATTTCCACTGCCTTGGTCCAGGGCAGCCTTGCAGGAGGGTGGATTTTCTAGGTTGAACTGGCAAAGTGTCACAATACAGGTGTTTGTTTTCCTGGCATTTCCTGCCTCCTGTGCCTGGGTGCTGGGCTGCCCTGGCTCCCTGTGACTGCAGGCTGTGGATACCAGGAGCTGTGAGAGCAGACCTGTGAAGCAGTGGAACAGATCACTGCTTATTTGAAGTATTTTGTGCTTCCTTAAGCTTCAAACGTGGCCTGATGTGGCTGTAACGCCCAGGATTTCCTCATTTACACATGAAATCACCCATTCTTAGGCAGGATAGTTGGCACACACCTGTCTAAGGGCCTTCAAACCAGCAGGAAATTACCTATGCAATAAATCATGCAATTAATGGTTTAAAAACCTGTGTTTCTTTTCCCCCCTCCCCAGTCAAAGCACTTTGCAAGGACTGTGTGGTGGAGAGGTGTCGAATCCTGCGGCTGAAGAACCAGCTGAACGAGGACTACAAAACCGTGACCAACCTGCTGAAGATGACAGTCAAGGGGTATGGAAGTCCCAGATGCTGTCAAAGATGCTTTTTTTAGAAGAGCTTAAACAGCTTTTTCCTAAAGATTTCCCTGTTTGGGCTCTGGAGAAGGGAGCTGTGCTTTTGGGGTACCAGTGCTGTTGTCTCCCTGCAGGAACGACGGGTTTTGGGTTGGCAAAGCGTCCTTGAGGAGCTGGCGTCAGCTGGCTCTGGAGCAGTTAAATGAGCAAGATGAAGATGCAGAGCACAGTAATGGAAAAATGAATGGAAATGCACAAAACAAAGGTATTTACTCCTGATTTCCTACTAATTTCTGCTGCTGTAGAGAGCCACCAGCTCTGCCTGATCCCTCCTGACAAAAAACACGTCAGAGGTTTCTGTAGCTGTTTTGTTCCCCTTGTATGGGTAGGGAGGAAAGGATAATAAATCGAATTTTAAAAGGCCTTCATTTCAGGAGCTTTTTCTTTGCTAAACTTGAAAAGTGTGGGGTGATCTTCATGCTGGAGAGAGAGATGAGGTGATAAGTGGTTTTACAAAGCTGTGTGAAATTACCACCCCAGACACATGATCTTTTTATCCATTTTTTTCTGAATGAGAGGGCACAGGGAAGGAAGAAACGTGAAAATTACCTTGGGGATGGGATGATGATGATGTTTATTGTGAAGGTTGAGGTATAAAACAGCACAGCTGATGCAGCAGCACTGGGAAAACACAGCCTGGGAACAAAAATAATGAATTGCACTCCATTCTGTGCCCATATCATGAGAATAGATGGAGGTTTTATTTGCCTTCTGCTCTTTAAATGTTTGAAAATCGTATTTTCTTGAGCTTCTTTGAACTGTGTAAGAAGCTTGTTGGAATGAAAGTGGGGAATGATGGCTCAGGGCATTGATCTTGGACTGGAGGGCACCTCAGCCCCCCTGATGAGGAGGAGCACTAGTGGAGAAAAGGGCATTTCTGAGTTACCACTCATCGTTCCTCGGGGTGACTGATTCACAACAGGTTGCAACTCCCAGTAGTGCATTTGAATTACTCACAAGCCAAGTTAGAGGCTCTTGCTGACACGTCATTGTCTTGGTGATGCTCCATTCAGTGGCCAACGCTTGACTTTAACTAATTTAGAGATTGATGTAGGGCTTGTCAGCCCCCTGGCAGGCTCCCCCTCAGTTTGTCAGGCAGCATCTGGTTTAGATCAGGAATTTTGCCAGGAATTCTGCTCCTTTTGCTCTTACCTAGGCTTGTGTTTAGGTTAAACTCGAAGATGTCTGGGAGCAGGGAACCCCCGTGGTGTTCCAGCCCTAACAAATGCATCCTTTGTAATCTCACAAAGGCCTGGCTTGTGCTCCATGCACTTCAAAGCCCTCCTACGTGACCTGGGGGCTGTAATCCCGCCTGCCCAGAGGCCGAGACATCGGAGAATAACAAATTTCCTTCCAAATTTTCCCTTGGGTGAGGGGGTTTGCTGTAATTTGAAAGGCGACCGTGCTCCTTTCCCTGTAAGATTTTTTTTCCTTGGGAGAGGAACTCTGTGCAATCTTCTTGTACTATTATTTTTTTTAATTAGATGAATCAAATGAAGAGAAGAGGGAGGAGGAAGAGGAGTTAAATTTTAATGAAGACATCGTTTGCCCACATGGTGAGTCTCTCCGGGGGATGGAGCTGAATATCTCCGTTGTTGCCCACTGCTGCACACATTAACCTTGTAGCCTTTGCTCCAACTGTGGCCAGCTTGAGGAGTCACACAATTAAGTGTGCTTAATTCTCATTTTCCTGGTGTTTCTTGCCTCAAAAGTTTTCCTTGCAGGCAAACTCTCTAGGCCAGTCAGAGCTGTCAGATGCTGAGCTTCCCATCCTTGCATGGGAAAAGCTCTGCAGCCATTTGGAAGCTCTAAAAGCAGTAAGAGAGGAAGAGGTGATGTAAATCAGTCCAGGTGGGAGCTGAGAGTATCTGTTTAGTATCCTGGTTTACATTAAAACAGGAGCACTCACCCAGCACCTGGGCCAGGACCACTCCTGGATATCGATTTCCCAACCTGCTGTGCTTTGGTGTCTGTTTACTTAAGGTTTTGACCTCCTATCAGTTGTTTTGAAAGTGATGCCTCATTAGCTGCATCCTTGGCTACCCTGTTGTTTTAATCTCACTTTATAAAGCTTGTGTTCCCAGCCATAAAAACCAGTTTTACTTAAGCTCCTGTTTGTAGGCATCAGTTTGTGGGGAGGCTCCATCTTATCTCAAACAGAAGGAAAAATGGCATCAATTAGCCACACATCTCCTGTCATCAGGGGTAGTCAAGAACCTGGAGTAAGGCTTGGGAAATCTCATTTTCAAGCAGAGTGTTTAAGCACTTTGTCACGATTTTAGCTGTTACTCAGTGCCTTGAACGCTGCATTTCCCTTTGCCTCGAGGCTGCTGCTGTTCAATAAAAGCATGGAGCATGGGGATGGAACATTTAGGGAGCCAGACACGATAAAAAATAGGCCAATAGGCCTTTGGAAAATGTATGGTGTTAAATTGCTGGTTGATCTGTGACTTAGGGTCATAGCAGAATAAATAATACTAAATAAGGGGGCTGCTGGCAGGGCAGGTTTTGTTGTCTTGAGTTAACCTCTGATTACTCATGGAAAACAAGCTTTCCACCTTGAAAAACTCCCTCTGCAGTGGATCAGCAAATCTGTACTCTTGTTCCTACGGCCTTAATTTTGTGGTGGAGGAGGTTCCTGCCTCCATGGTAGGCTCTGGAAAAGGCAGTGCTGGATCTGGGAGGGCTGGCTGGCCTCCAGGAATGCCACCCGGGCGTTCCCTTCACAGCTCCCTTTGCATCCCTGCTGCAATTCCTCGCTCTCCAGTAGCTGCCTGATCCCAGGGAATTTTTTCCAGATACCAAGTTAAGCCTTCTTTGATGTCTGTGCCCAAAACATGTCCCTGGATGGTGGGAGTGGGAAGCAGGGTCAGCAGTAGTTGGGTTCATCTTCCAGATGGCAAAACACTTGTGCCCTGCAGACCCAGAGCTGATTTTTCCACCTCTTTCACTCACTGTATTAATCTGTTTTCATTAATCATGTGGTGTCAAGGCTCTTATTTGTACAAACTCCTTTTTTTCCCCATCCTTGCTGGCTCTGGGCAGCATCCTGGGCCAGCCTCCGGAGCCATTTGGCCTCATTGGATGAAGCTCAAGTGGCCAAGTGCTGCACCGAGGCCTGACCTTTGTTTATTAGAGGAAAAGCAGGAGGGGAGCATTGCTATTTTTTCCTCTTCAGGGCTGGCCAAATTCCAGACTCAGCTGGAGGGAGTCCGTGGGCCTGAGGAGCTGCTTGTCATGTTAAAGAGCTGCTGGAGGGTGGGGAGGAGGGAGTTCCTCTCCCTCTCCTCTCTCTGCAGCTCTCCAGGCTATAGAAAAGCAGATAATAAGGGATTGTGCCCTTTGGACACCACAGTTGCTGTTTTCCTTCCCTCTTGCTGGTGCAGTCCCTGCCGAGGCACGGCGACTCGGATATTCCCAAATCCAATTCACATCCCGGTGTCGCAACGGCTGCTCCCCGTGTTCCTCCCTGCACAGGGACTTCCAGCTGCTGTCTCCAAGGGAGATGTGGTTGTGTTTTCCCCTTGGCCATCAGCAGCCTTGTGAGTGGGCAGCTGGTCAGATCCCAGAGCCTTCTCCCGTTTTTCCAAGCCTTGTTTATCCGGCCAGCACGTGTCGTCCTTGTGCACGCGGTGTCCCAGTGCCTGAGTGTGCCTCCTGCTTCCACCCCTGAGACAGCAGGCACAAATGGCTCCTGCAAATCCTTCTTGGGGTCTTGGAGCTGCCTGAGCATCAGGATAGATAATCCTGATATCAGGATAAATAATCCTGATGGATAAATAAAAGAGTTCTGGGGGGTAGCTGGTAAATCTTGCTTGGTATCTTCATGTCCAGTTATTCCCCAGAGCAGATTTAGGATGCAAAATCTGTCCTTTCCACATTTTTAGGTGCTTGGGTAGGGCACATGAAACTGTATTGAGATTCTGCAGTGGGAGTTTGGGGTTTTCAAGGATGTGGAAGGCACCTGGTTTCATGGGACACGGGGTTGTTATCCTGGGGCTCAGCAATGGTGTCACCATGAGGAGGATGTAGCTGTGGATAGCCAGGATCAGAAAACAGTAGCCCTGTGACCTCTGGCTTTTCCCCACATCCCTACTTGTGTTTGATCAGCTGCTTAGGCCATGATCTTGGAAATCTAAAGAGCATTTTTATAAATTAAAGTCATATTATTATTCTCTAAAGGAAGCAAGGAAGGAGTTGAAGGTGACTTTACTGGGTTTTGCTGACGTGGTCTTGGCTGATAAATGTGTGGATTTCTTCCCCACATTTGTTCCTTGTAATCTCTTCAATCAAGGGCTGCAAAACATTCCTGAGCATGTTGTGATCAAAGCCTTTCCTTGATTCTCTCCCTGCAGGTGACCTGTGCATCTCTGAAAACGAGCGGAGGGTGGTTTCCAAGGAAGCCTGGGAGAAACTCAAGCAATATTTTCCAAAAGCCCCCGAATTCCCAAATAACAAAGAGTGCTGTTCCCAGTGCAAGGTATTTGCCAAATACTCCCCTTTTGTTGACTGTAAATACTGGCTGTATTTCTGGTTTTCCTTTTTAACACAACCCTGTGCCGTGGAGGAGAATAAAGTCACCTTTGGTAGCAGCTGGCAATGGGAGCTGGGATGTAATTAACTGTTTCCTGCAGATTTTGGAGCGTGAAGGGGAGGAAAATGAAGCTCTGCATAAGATGATGGCCAGCGAGCAGAAGACTTCTCTCCAGAACCTGTTCCATGATAAATGCAGGCCTTGCCTGGGCAGCTGGCCTCAGGTAGGGAAGGAGGGGGATCAGGGGACACAGCCACGCTTGGGAGAGGTTTTGTTGGTTTTAATCCCTCTCCTGCCCAGAGAAGCTGTGGCTGTCCCATCCCTGGAAGTGTGCAGGGCCAGGTTGGATGGGCTTGGAGCACCTGGGATAGTGGAAGGTGTCCCTGTCCATGGCAGGGGGTGGAAGGAGATCCCAAACCATTCCAGAGCCGTTCACTCAGTGTGTGCCAGCAGAGCTCTCACGTGTGTTTGCTGAGGTGTGACTTCCCTGGATTAGCTGTGCTCGCACAAAGCCCTGAAGAGCCACAGGAGTGGCTGATGTGCCAAGGGAGCTGGCCCTCAGTCAGGGAGATAACAGTGACAGTGTTGCTGTCATGGTTGTATCTGTTCCTGGGAGGAGGAAACAGCGCAGCCACTTCCCACAGCTCTCCATCAGCCTTCTCCTGCAGGAGGATGCTGGAACACACCTGAACTTTGCCCCACCACCACCTTTTGCTGCTGCTTGGGCGAAATTCAGGTGTGCTCCAGCATCATCCTCTGTCCCAAAAGCTCAGAGGGCTTCCCAAAACGCTGAAGCCCTGCAAAGAGCAGCGGTGGCTGTGCAAACTCTCCTAGCAGCTTCTCCAGGAATTCTTGGGGGTTTGAGGTGCTCAGAACGAGCTGTTGGCTCCAGTCCTTGGCTCCTGGGAGTCTCGTGGTGCTGATTAATGGCTGACTCTACAATCCTGCCAAGGTGCATTGGCAGGTGTCTGCCTCCATCCCTCACTGTTCCAGCTGGGAATAAAAACTGAGGCAACAGAGATGGCTCAGAACCAAGGAGACCCAAAATGGTTTAAAAGGAGCTTTCCTTTCATGCTGAGCTGGAGAGCTCCAGGTCCTGCCAGTGGTAGTTAAGGTTGTATCTGGTTGGATTTGCTTTTGGAGCTGGAGAAAGTTGGAGCTCATCACTGTGGGTCAGACATAGAAGGGTCTCCACCAGCAGGGTTAGATCCTTCTTTCCCTTTTTATCCTCCTTTCTCTTTTAATTTCCTGAGGGAGCCTGATAGAACAGAGCTGAGGATCTTCCCCTTAAGCCTTTGGAGTTCTCCTGATCCAAAGAAGTTGAGGTTTGGGGAGGAAAACAAGCAGAAATCAAGAGATTAAGGGAAATTAAAAAGTGTGCCTATATATATTCCTCAGGTGTGCTGAGTTTTCCTACAGAAAGATGGAACAAGCCCTTAATTCTGTCTTTAGGAAAGGGGTGAGGATAAAGGAGAGCATGGAAGTAATTTTGTCACACAGCTCTTGGGGGCTGGGTGGTTTCTTGTCCAGGAGCAAACCATTTAAAGGAAGACTGGGACAAAAACCCACAGATTATCCCAAAAACGCTGTCTCATTTGGTGCACAGCTGTGGTTTGGTATCTCTGCTGCTGCCAAAAGGAAAAACTTGTGGATTTTGACGTTGGAAGCAATTGAGGGATGTTGGGGTGGTCTCACCCCACGCCTGTGGGAGTGAGGGATTCACCAGCTTCAAACCCTGAGCACCAGCAGGAGGAGCAGCGCTGGGGAGTCCTGGCTGCTCCGGGGAAATGCAGAATCAAAAGTAATTGGATCAAAAGCTCAAGCAACTTCGTAATAAACACAAGATTAGCAATGGTAGTGCTTAGTACCTGATCCCAAATTATTTTGCTTGGCTTTCACAGCCCACTTGGATGGAGTTGTCATGGTAAAGCAGCACTGAGGTCTCGAAGGGAGCGAGCGCTGCCGAAAAACCGAACAGTCATTGTTGGGTTCATTAAAAAGATCCTTTTCCCTCCTCTTTTCCCCCAGGAGACGGATGAGCTGTATATTGTTTCGCAGTTCTTTGTAGAAGAATGGAGGAAATTTGTCAGGTAACTTGGCTGGAGGGTTTTGGTGCTTTTTATCTCTTATTTTGGGGGCTGTAGATAATATTTTGCTTCTGACTTGCAGCACAGTGAGCTCGTGGAAACAATGAAGCTGATTTTTGCAGGACTTGTATCAATTGTAATGCGGTGTAAGACACTGAATTTCCTTGTTTGCTGTGTGTTAACCAGATGGTCAGATTAGCTGGTAACCTGATTAGTTTTTTCATCTGTCTGGAGCTGTATCCCAAAGGTCACCGCTCGGGCTGGAGATGGAAATCTCTGCTGGTCAGAGTCATTCTGCACCGCAGAGGAACGCAGATCTGATTTCCTCATCACTAGCAGTTACTATTCCTTGTTGGAATGCCTTGTGTAAATACTCACCTGTGATTTTTTCCTGTCTTCCTGAAGAATTGTGGGGGTTTTGGTGGGATAACCTGATGCAGCTTTCCAAACCTCTTCCCTTTTGCAGGAGGCCGACGCGCTGCAGCCCCGTGTCCTCCATAGCAAACAGTGTCCTGCTCTGTCCCCACGGGGGGCTCATGTTCACCTTTGCTTCCATGACCAAAGAAGACTCCAAACAGTGAGTTCCTTCCCTTCACACACTTTCCTTTTGCCAGGAGCCTCGGGAGAACGTTCCCAAAGGAATGCTCGTGCTGCTGAGCCACAGCAAGATGAGGAGTAATCCTTTCCCCTAAAATTAACACCAAGGCTTTCTCTGAGCCACCTCAGCCTTCCTGCAAGGCAAGACTTAAACTGCCCAAGGATGCTGGGTCAGGAAAATAGAGCTTCCTTCAGCTTGGTTTGTTCCTGACAATAACCACTCTGGATTTGGCCAGAATGCAGAAACATTCTGCTTCCTTACAATTTGCTTTCCGTGAGCCTTCCCCCCCGGAGTGATGGCTGCAGGGCTGGACTTCATGCTCCACAGCCTTGCTTCTGCAGTGATGCAGCACTAAAAGTAGGAGATCTTCCACTCCTTTCCTCCTCCATCCCTCCCTCCGGCACGACGGGAGCACAAGTGTCACTAATCACAGGCTGCTGTTATCTGGCTGTGCAGGCCCTCCCGTGTAGCTGGGTTTTGGACAGATTTTGCAGTTTTTCTTTCATTGACAGACCAACAAGCCAAAGAGGGAGGGATTTTTTATGAGTTTAGGGCTTGGCTTTTCCAATGTCATAAAGCACCTGCCTGTTCCTTTGCACAGTATAGCTCTGATATGGCCCAGCGAGTGGGAGAGGATCCAAAAACTCTTTGTTGTGGATCACGTCATCAAAATCACCCGGACACAGGCAGCCGGGGCCGGCCCCGAGGGCGCCCGCTACGCCTCCGAGCCCCGTGAGTGACCCCTGCTCCTGGGAAGGGCTCCTGGGGCTAGAAACCTCACTCCAAGGGGGGCACTGGGGAACTCAGAGCTTGGCAGGGTCCCCCCTGCAATGCCGTGTCCAGCTCTGGAGTCTTAAGCACAGGAAGATGTGGAGCAACTGGAGCAAGTCCAGAGGAGCCCACGGAGGTGCTCCAAGGGCAGGACCCCTCTGCTCTGGAGCCAGGCTGGGGGAGCTGGGGGTGTTCAGTCTGGAGAAGAGAAGGCTCCAGGCAGACCTCAGAGCCCCTTCCAGGGCATAAAGGAGCTCCAGGAGAGCTGGAGAGGGATGTGGGATGAGGGCCTGGGGGGAGAGGACACAGGGAATGGCTCCCACTGCCAGAGGGCAGGGTTTGATGGGGTATTGCAGAGAAATTCTTGGCTGTGAGGGTGGGAAGGCCCTGGCACAGGGTGCCCATCCCTGGCTGCCCTATCCCTGGAAGTGTCCAAGGCCTGGAGCAATCTGGGATAGTGGAAGGTGTCCCTGCCCCTGGCAGGGGTGGATGAGATCCCAAAGGTCTCTTCCAGCCCAAACCACTGTGGGATTGAATGTGGTTAGCAGCGAGGGGCCCTGCACTGGGGCCTCTGAGGAGCTGGAGCAGTGAGATGTTTTGTCCCTTGGTGTGTCCCCAGAGCTGTGCCCCGAGTGCCGGGAAGGGCTCCTGTGCCAGCAGCAGCGGGACCTGCGCGAGTACACCCAGGCCACCATCTACATCCACAAAGTGGTGGACAACAAAAAGGTAGGGACTGTCCCCCATCCCTGCTCAGCCAGGCTCCAGGAATGCCCTGAGGGGCTGTCACAGCTCCCATGTCCCCAGGACTGGCGGGGATCCTGCTGTTCCATGGTGGTGGTGAGGGCAGAAATCCCCAGCTCTGCAGCTCCAGGCAGCTCTGGCAAAGCCAGCAAATTGGGACATTCTGGCTCTGAAAACTCCATCTCCTCGAGGCTGCCTTTTGCCAAACCAAATCATCTGTGTTTTCAGGGATGCTCCCAGCTGTTTTCTCTGTCTTAGCTGTGTCCCTAGGCTGTACCTGCTCTCCTCCCCCTCCAATATTTGTCATTTCCTTTCTTCTTGCTGAAGTGACATTTTAATTCCTGGATAGAAATGAGCTCTTCTCCTCAGTGCTGGTGAGACAATGAACTTGGAGATGGTTCTCAGGATCCCCTGAAGCTGTGAATTTTGCTTTTACTGGTCTTAAGTGTCAGCATCAGCTCTAGAACTGGTTTTCCAAGTACCCAAAGCTGGTTCTGGTAACCCCCCACTCCTTAAGGCTCTTAAGAAGGGAGCCAAGGGTGGGCAAGTTCAGATGAAAACAATCTCTGCACCTTTTGAGTGTGGGGTGGGTTTTTTTGGCCTTTCCTTGATTTCCACCTCCCTGCCAATCCCAGGGAGGCGCTGGAGCCTGGGGAACCACAGGGAGCTGGAGGCTGGATGGGCTCCTGCCTTGGATGTGAGATGTGGATCACGCAGCACCGTCTGGAGCCCTCAGCCACGGGCTTTCAGCCTGAATCCCCAGCCTGAATCCCTCTTGGCTCTGCTGCACGAGAGGGTTGGGTGTTGTATTTTTCTGGCACTGGACAGGACTGTGCTCACACGTGGGGTTGGCAGAAAAACAGGGAGCTATTCTTTATGGAGCAGCTGGAGCTGGAGAGAGGGGGTGAGAACGTGCCCACGAGATCCCCCAGTAACAGGGCAGCCTCAGCAGGATGGGAAGCAGCAGGAATGCTGGCCTGGATCACTTTCAGCAGCACTGGGAACCACTGTGCCCTTCCTGCTGGCTTTGCAAAATCAGGGAGTGTTTCCCAGCCCCTCACCCCTTTTCCTCCCTCCTCTGCACCACCTGGTTCTTCCTTGGGGTGAATGTTGCTGCAGAGGGAAGCCTGATCCAGATAAAGTCATTGTAGGGTGGCACTGCTGGAATTCAGAGGGCTCTGGGGAATGTTTGGGAGCTGGAATTGCATCATTAATTGCAAATACGTTGATGGAGAAGAGAGCTCTTGGCATCCACATCTCCTGGGCTCCTGCAAAGCCCAGTTCCAGCTACAGCATAGCTGGGAATTTACATCCAGGCAGATCTATGCCTGGAGTGACTTTCACTGGCCTGAACAACCTTTTTATTTTTGTATTTGTGTAAATTATTTAGATTTCATTTGCTTACAACCTCCAGCCCCATAAGTAATGGTGCTGCAGGGGCGGATAAATGTCTTAATTCACAAAAAATACTTTCTCCATGTTGAGGCTTTTGTAATACACTTGGATCAGCCAGCTGATGGGAAAGGAATCAGTAAAGGGGCTCGGGGGACTTTGCTTTGCCTGGAAAGGAGGGCAGGAAGCACCTGCAATTCCACAGAGGGGGATTCCAGAGCTGAATCCCACTGAGGTTCCACACAGCTGGGGAGGGTGGAGGAGCCTTTGCAGAGCTCATGGAGCAGCTCCCAGGGTTATTCCCGGGCTCTCTGGATGGAGGTGGCACCCAGAGGTCTCCGGGAGCTGTTTGCCATGCTGGGACAGGCCTTGTGGATGCTGTTGGTTACGGAGAATGATTTTTATGACTCCAGGTAATGAAGGACGCGGCTCCAGAGCTGAACGTGAGCAGCTCGGAAGCTGAAGAGGAGAGGGAGGAAAACAAGCCAGAGGGGGAGCAAGATCCCGATTTTAACCAGGTAGAGATGAAAAATCCCATCAGGTTCCTTGATTTTTGTATCGTCCTCTTGAGTCAGCATGATGGGATCACCACCCTCCTCCTCTGCATCTCACTGGCAGCAGAAAAGTGTCTCAAATTGCCATTTGAGTGGTCAGACCACACCAGTGCTGGGTTTGGAGAGATTAACAATGGATAGGGATTCATGTGCGCATGGAAATCTGCCCCACGTTGGCATTAGGACTAGGAACTGAGGTTTGAAGGCAAATCCTTTGGTCATCTCCACACTTGCATGCTTCAATTGGCTTTCCAAGGGGTTTTCCATCACTTCCTGCCTTCCCTCGCATGACCAGTTGGCCCAAAACACTCTGGAATCTGGGAAGGTTGTGTGTATCCCCAAACAACTCGATCTCGTTTTTTGCCTCGTCTCCAGGCCAATGGTGGCACGAAACGCCAGAAGCTGTCCCACCAGAGCTACATCACTTACCAAAAACAGGGAATCAGGAGAAGCACACGGCACCGGAAGGTCCGGGGGGAGAAAGCGCTGCTCGTGTCAGCCAACCAGACCCTGAAAGAGCTGAAAATCCAGGTGAGGCCGGCTCTCCTGCCAGGAGTGAGGCAAAAAAACACAAAAGGAGGAGTGAGGGGGCGGAGGGGAAGGGTCTGACTGCCCCAGGAGCTGGGCATGGGTGCAGGGGCGGGAGGAGCCGCAGCTCCGGGGTGAGGTGTCCGTGTGTCCCCAGATCATGCACGCCTTCTCCGTGGCCCCCTTCGACCAGAACCTGTCCCTGGAAGGGAAGATCCTGAGCAATGACACGGCCACGCTGGGCAGCCTGGGAGTCATCCCCGAGTCTGTCATCCTGCTCAAGGTACCAGGGGAGGGATCCCGAGTGGGCTTGGGGGTGGAGATGGAGTCACATGGAGCCAGCTCCTCGGGGAGCTCCTTGGAGGAGGAGGAGAATCCTTAATTTTTTTGTCTTACGGGAGGAAAATCCTTATTGTTTTTTGTTTTGGAGAAGAAAAATCCTTATTTTGTTTCAGAGGAGGAATATCCTTGGGTGTTTGGGGGGTTTTTTGTTTTGGCTTTTTGTTCTGGAGGAGGAAAATCCTTTTCTTTTGTTTTGGAGGAGGAAAAGCCCTAATGTTTTCGGGTTAGGGGAGGAAAATCCTCATTGTTCTTGTTTTGGAGGAGGAGTATCATTAATTTTATTTCTTTTGGAGGAGGTAAATCCTTTTTATCTTTGTTTTGGAGGAGAAAACCCCCCTTCTTTTATTTCCAAGAGTGCTTTGTAGCTGATACAGCTGCTGAGATCTGCGGGTACCAGCCCAAAACACAGCTAAATCAGGGAGTGAGTCCTTGCATGGCGTTCCCAGTGTTTGGGCAGCAGAGCTGTTCCCTGCTCCTCCTGAGCAGGGCTGTGATGCCCAGGTCCCTGTGCTGGTTAATTCCTGCTCCCTGTCCTTCCCAGGCCGACGAGCCCATCGCGGACTACGCGGCCATGGACGACGTTATGCAAGGTGAGGGAGTGGGGAAGGGCTGGGGCTGGGGAGGTGGAAAATGGGGATTGTGACACTTCCTGACAGAGGCTTGGAATCCTCAGAGCCACTTCTAATGCCTGCCTTCCCTTTCCATCCCAGTTTGTATGCCTGAAGAGGGATTTAAAGGTGAGTCCAGGTGTTTTGCCCCCTTTGTATCCCCTCACATGAATCCCACCCCCATCCCACTTCCCTCCTCATCTGCTGGTGGTGTCTTTCCTTCCCAGGGACTGGTTTACTTGGCCACTGATGGTTTTCCAAGAGGAGCGACCAGAAGGGAAGAGGATTTGTCACATGGTAGGGCATTAAAAGAATAAAAACAGGTGGATACAGTACTTTTTGACTCTTCCAGAAGGCAAAAATCCATCGTGAGACGTTTGCTCCCCAAAAAACAAAACAAATGCCTTATGTCAAAGCAGATTGCACTGAAGGACATCCTGCTTCAGGACAGCGTTCCTGGGTTTATTTAAAAAAGAACAGGAAGGTTGGGAAGTTGAGCAGCAGTTGGTGTGTGGGATGAGGGGCAGCCCTCGTGTCCCCCGGCCCGGCCGCAGCGGGGTGGTGATGCAGGAGATCCAGCCCATCCTGATCCCTCTGCAGTCACTCTTTAGGATAATCCTGTCTTTGATCCACTCTCACGCTTTCAGTCCAGCATGGAAGGAATTGTGACTTCGTGAGGAATGTCTCTAGCGCTTTCAGACAACAAAACTTCATTTTCTTAACCCAAAATGGAAGCTGGGATCTGCCTCCCAAGCCCTGCCAGGGGCTGGGAGCCGCCCCCTCTCCGCATCCTTCCGCCGTCACTTCCACACCTTGGACAATCCAGTAACCACCTGGGCTCTGGGAACTGTGGGTTTTTTTAGAAATTTGGGATATTTTAATGACTCTCAAGAACATTTTCCTCCAGTCTGGCGCTGCTGGGAGTGTTCCTGGCTCAGGGCAGTCGGAGCTGGCCAGGGGGTGCGGGTGGGTGCTGAGTTTCCCATGGGAAGAGGTTTTGTTACTCCTCTCTCCTCATTTTTCAGCAATGCACTAATTATTTTTTTTCTTTTTCCTTTTTTTAACACCTCCCAGAAAACTTTTCTCCCCATTAATATTTAGCAGGAAATAGTATCCCACTTCCAGACGGATCCACACTGGGCACTGCCAAGGGATCTTTTTATTAAAGATCCTCTTCCTTTCCAACCTTTTCCTTTGTTTCTGCAGAAAAATACAATGCAGAGATCGCATCAGTTTTATTTTTTCAAGGTTTGCAGGAATTTGGGCTGCAAGAAGAGGATGTGGGCCAAAATTCCATGCCCAAAATCCTACTAGTTTTGATTTCCAGTGTTTTATGTGAAGAATTCCAGCACCTTCCTCCCTTGTCCCTGATGGGTTTGGGTGTGAAGCAGCAGCATTTGAGGGGCTCTGAATTTCCTAAAAAGTGATATTTTGGGGCAGTTTGAACCCATGGAGTCTTTCCCAAGGTATAGACATGGCAAATTCCATGCCAAAGCCACAGGAGGCTTTTCTTCCCAACCTGAAGCACTCGCTTGTGTACATATTCCTTGGAAATTCCATCTTTTCAAGTTGCTGTTAATTTTTTTAATGTTATATATAAAAAATTCTCTTCCTTGAGCTTACACTGTTGTGGGAAGGGATCCCGTGGGGTGTTCCAGGGCTGTGGCAGAGGACGCAGATGCAAGGTGTGAGCCAGAGCCCCATTCCTGTTTTGTCTGTTATTTGCAAATATTATCGGATTAAAGTTGTCATTGGAGCTGTGGCAGCCTCGTTACAGTGCAGACACGTGGGCCGAGGGTGTTGGAGCAAGGTGGAGGTGATTATCCCATAAATCCCACTTGGAGCTGTCCCAAAAAGGAATGTGGGCGCTGCGGGGTGGGCTGGGAGCAAGAGGGACCCCCCTGGAGAGGAATCCCCCCTCCCTGGCATAGGGAGGGTATAGGTTTTATGGAGCTTGGGCACAGCATTTGGTGGCCCTGGCCCTGTCACATCGACCCCTGTCCCCACCTGGTGTGTCCCTGGGGGGGGTCCCTGCCCCTCCTTGGGGCCCTCCGAGCCAGGGTCTCCCTCTGAGCCCCTGGGGGAGACAAATGGGTGCTGGAGGTGGGGGGAGAGGCCTTGGGGCATGGGGGGCTCTGGGTGCCAGGGAGGGACCGGAGGGGCCTGGGTACTGGAGATGGGAGTTAGAGGGGACAGGGTGGGAGCTGGGGCAGGGCTGTAGGTGTGGGGGGCTATGGGTGGGGGTCCTAGGTAGGGATGGGGGCCACCCTGGGTGTGGGAGAGGAGGGGTTAAGGCTGGGGGCTACTCTGGGTACCAGGAATGGGGAATTATGGATGGGAGGGGTCCTGGGGCACTAGGGATGCAGAGGTAGGATAGGAGGGGCTTGGGCACCGGGGACGGAGATGGGGGTCCCTGAGTACCGGGGAGGGGGGCTACGGCTGAGCGGGGTCTGCCGGGAGCCAGGGGTGGGAAGAGGGGGACGGGGGAGCCAGCTCTGGGTCCCGGGGAGAGCCGGGGGGCAGCCCCGTGAGCCGAATCTGGGGGAGATGTGGGTGATGGGCAGAGCCGTCCCCGGGGGCCAGCCGCGGGCGGGGGGATGGAGATGGGTCCCGGGGCGACGTTTGGGGGGTCCCCCGCCCTGCGGGGCCCGGGGCGCTGGGGAAGGAGGGGACACCCAGGCGGTGCCGGGGTGACATCAGGGATGGAGGGGGGATCCCCAGTTCCGGATCTCAGTTCCCGGTGCCGTTGTCCCGGTGCCCGTGGCCGGTGGTCAGCTCCCGGTGCCCGTGGCCGTTCCCGGTACGGTCCCCGGTTCCCGGTACCGGTTCCCGGTCCCACCGCCCCCGGAGGGGCCGCCCCGCCCCGCCGCACGTGACGCTGCGCGGTGGCAGCGAGCGCCGGGGCCCCGCTCGGCTCCGCTCGGTACCGGCCCCGCTCCGGGACCGCCCGGCCCCGCCGCCCCCGGTAAGTGCCGCCCTGCGGGGACCGGGCACCGCTGTCCCCCCGGAGACCCCCCTCTGGGGATGTCCCCTCATCCCCGCCGCAGCACCGGGGGGTCCGTCCGCCCGTGACCTTCAGCGCTGCCGGTACCGGGGGAGGGGATGGGGGGGAAACGCTCCGGGCCTGGGGGCTGGCCCCCACATTTAGAACATCTCCCCCCGGTGCTCCCCCCACCCTCCCGGGACAGACCCCCCGTGGATGTGGGGGGTGTGGGGAGCCATGGGGGAGCCCCCCAGGGTCGCCCCCAGCCCAGCGGGGTCACGCAGCGGCCCAGGGGGTGCACGGGGAAGGGTCGCGTTTGCACGGGGACAGGTGGCAATGTCGCATTGGCACGGGGACACCGGGGTCACACCTTGCATGGGGACGGGTCACACCTGCACGGGGCTGTGCTTGGCTGCGGCTGTGTTTGCACCGGGCTGTGTTTGCACGGGGACGGGTCACACCTGCACCGGGCTGTGCTTGCACGGGGACGGGTCACACCTGCACCGGGCTGTGTTTGCACGGGGACGGGTCACACCTGCACCGGGCTGTGCTTGCACGGGGACGGTGACATTTGCACGAGGGTCCCTTTTGCGCCAGGGACGTACTTGCACGTCATTGTGTTTGCACAGGGCCGGGTCACATTTGCACCAGGGCTGTTTGATGGGGACAGTGCCATTGCATGGGACCGGTGGCGTTTGCACGAGAACGGTCACATTGCCACAGGGAGAGCGACATTTGCACTGGGCTGGTGACACGGGCGTGGGGCAGTGACACTGGCACAGGAATGATCATACTTGCACGGGGAGAGACCCTGGGCAGGGGGTCGGTGGCACTGGCACGAAAATGACCGCACTTGCACAGCGCCAGTGACAGTTTCACGAAGAGGGCTGCCAGTGGCACGGGGCCGGTGGCACCGGCTCGGGGTCAGTGACACTGGCACGGGCATGATGGCATCTCATAGGATGGGTGACACGGGCACGGGGTCGGTGCCACTTTGGCGGGGTCGTTGGCACTTCACAGGGTCGGTGCCACCCCACGGGGTCGGTGCCACCTTGGCGGGGTCGGTGCCACCCCACGGGGTCAGTGTCACTTTGGCGGGGTCGTTGGCACCTCACAGGGTCGGTGCCACCCCACGGGGTCGGTGCCACCCCACGGGGTCAGTGTCACTTTGGCGGGGTCGTTGGCACCTCACAGGGTCGGTGCCACCCCACGGGGTCGGTGCCACCTTGGCGGGGTCCCGGCGCTGTCCGTGGTGCTGCCCCGCGCCGCCGCCTCCCGCCGGCAGAGGGCGCCCTCCGGGGGGG